GTGGTGGCTTCGCTCTGAAAGCGGTGTTGGGTTCCTCCACGGCAGCGAATAGTGCCCAGTGTGTTCCGAAATGCGGTGGATGTACCCGAATCTCCTTTAGCATTTCTTTCTTATTTCTTATTTAGGATCTGTGGTTGCCTATTTTACATCCGCAAAGTTTCTTCTTTATCTTGGACATGCACTGTCCACTTGGGTAAGTAAATATTGGCCTGGTAGAAGTAGGATTTTATTAATCTAGCTATGATTTACCTGAACGTTATTGGTACTTTCCAAAAATCTTCACAAAATAGCATACCATTACAGAGGTCTTGTTACACCACCTTGCTGTTAAAAGTCTTTGTAATATTTACATGATATGTTGCAGTAGTGTCAGTTTTCATTAGTGCAGTACTCGGTTTTCTGAGGGCCTGGTTCTGTACCTTTTCATGCTTTTAAGTTAACTACAGAACCAGTGAGACTCTGAATAGGGTAAGTTTGGAGTAAAAGAAATGAAGCATAGTCCATAGCAGAATAAAAGACAGTCCATTGCAACATGTATATGGAGGACTTGTATACTCCCTACACTTCCTGATGGGAAATACTCAAAGTTTACAATGGACCCATTACTGCCACTCATTAGCGAAGGTGTTGAGAGTGTCAGATGTCTCCCTGTCAAAATGACTGCCTTCTGAAATGCTTGCTTTCTGTACTAAAGTAACTTACTACACCATAGGATACTAAAAAGATCTTAAAATATGCACTAAAAATAGGCATTCTGGTTCTATGCCAAAAAACAAAGAGTACATGTATTTTACAATACAATCTGAAGTCTCCATCCAGTGGCTTGACTCAAAAAGAAGTGGAAAGTTTCCTTCCTAATGTTCCCTGTTTTCTCCTTACTCCTGGGTTTGGACTGGTTTAATGGGTGGTTTGTATAGCATTGAACACATGGCTGATGGATAGTTACAGCATTGCATGCCTAACTCTGGCAGCTTCTCGCTTTCACTAACCTGAAAGGTCATCTTGATGTTTCTGTTAATGGAAAAAGGCTTGGAGTGGTACCAAACACTTGTTTAAACTAGTGCAATATTTTAGCAATTATTAATATTATTGAAGGAGCTGAGTGGTGATGTTTCTGTTTGGTTCACTGCTTTTCAGAGGCCAGGGTTGTTACCTGCAACAGTTTTTGTCAGTAGTGCCCACAATGTGCTTAACTGGCAATTGGGCCAACCCTGCTTGTTCCTCACTGAGGAGTGCTTCAAAGCTTGGCCGTGGGACTGCTCTCAGAGTACATGAGTAACGGTGACAAAGCAGAGATTGAAAACAATGTCACACACCATAACAAACATTAGTCTGCAAGAGGTCTGTTCAGCTGTTTAGCAATATTAATAGTATACTCCTTGTTCCAGTGTGTTTTCTTTTGTGCTGAAAATCTTGACTCAAACCAACCAAACCTGCTGAAACAACAGAAACGCAGCTTATTTTGACAGAACTGGGCGCAGGACTGTACCTTCTATATCGCCTAAGCTTTACTGTTCCTGTAGTCTGAATGTTTTTGCTAACAGGAGCAATCAACAAGCACCTTAATCTTCAGAACTCAAAGTAGTAGATCATCTTTGTTCTAAAATGACTATATCCACAATACAAAACCTGATAGAAATGTGGTTTTGCTGTAACCGAGAGCGCTAGTTTGGTTTCTGCGTTACTAAGCCATTCCCAAATACAGACAGAAGCTGTAAATGATTAAATGTGTCGCATCTCCACAGATGTTCAGATTTGAGCAAAGTCTAGACTATGTCTTAGGCTCTTGTTCAGTAAAGCATTTGAATGTGTGCTTGCCCTCACTGATCTTAGTAAGCTGGATTGCACTGATGAACTGGAGTCTCGGACCTTATGCTGTTGGTGTTATGTTTTTAATTCATTGCTGTCTGTCACTCAGCAGTAAAGAAAGAACAGGATGAGACTGGGTTCACCTTGCTGGTGCCAGGCCTAATGCTTGCCAGGAGGTCAGTTGCAACTTCCCAGCTTTATCTGAGCCACTCAGACCTCAGGAGGCCTTGCAGTAAGCAGTAGCCCGGCTGCAGCTTGACTTGTTGGCTTCAGTTCTGAGGTGGGATTGTATACATTCAGTCTGAGATGATTATAAGGATAATTATAATGACAGAAGAGCAAGAACCATCTTTAAAAGGATGGTGAGACTAAACAGCTGAAATATCCACGTTTTGAGACAGTTTAAACTGGGATTAAGTATATATAATTGAGGCTTTGCCCATTTCTGAAGGCAGGTTACTGTTTAAATTTCAGTAGGTCTTAGCTTGAAATTACATACCTGCTTCAAACCTCTGTAATTCACTGATTTATCTTTGCTTGCTCTTTATGGTTTTTAATTCCTGAAAGAAACTCATGCTTCCAGGTTGGAACTGCTTTAATTACCCCCAAAATTGTCTGTGTGGCCTGATCGAAATACTCTGGGTAAATGTGTTGGATAAGGTTGAATGGAGTTCACAGGCTCCTTAAATCAACTGTACAGCAAAATCATTGTCTCACTGGAGTCAAAGGAATCTTCCTGTAAGTTTCAGGTGAGATCAGGTCTTTCACTCTCACAGTAGTGGCTGGCACTGACTTTCACATACTTAATTTTTTTTTAAAAAAAAATGCCTTTTTCATCGTGTCAGAATTCAATAACTGAAGCATCCCTGCGTAAAGGAAAAAAACAAAAACAAAACAAACTTCTGTTCTGAAATTTCAATGAGAAAGTACTCTTGGTTTATTTTTCTAGCTTAATAAACAGTTACCCAGGAAAATCAAAACTTAGTTAATCCACCTGCATGTATTTTAAATGAAATTCAGTAAAGAGATACTTTGGGTCATATTAAGTGAATGCTAGACTTTGGGAAATTATATCCCTGTGTTTTCATTGCTGGAATGCTTTCTATGTATTTCTATGAACCATGGGCTAAAAGTGGAACACATTTTACAGAAGACTTTAGGTATCTCTGGAGAGTGAAAATTGTTTTATTATATACAAGAGGTCACATCTAAACTAATTATGCTTATATTTGCATTTTTTCATTGGTTTTAGTTAGAAAATGTATAAAATACCCAGAGCTTTTCCTTGAACAGGTGAAACTTTTCTTCCCACTTGATTGGCATGTCATTTTTTTCTGCCTATGGTTAAGGAAACAAATGTGAATGTTTACACATTACAATGTTTGAAGAAACCTCCTTCAGAGAACTTCGGTAACATTAAAAGGCCAATTCTTGTTGTGCATCTATACTGCATTCAAGACTTTAATCGAACTTTGCAATTTTAACCCTCCAAATAGCGTGCTTTTTATGTATCTCTTGATTGCTGTGTTATATGTTAGATTTGGCAGACTGCTTTTTCAACGTGCTTTTATGTTGCACCTCCCTCAGCCCTTTAGAATATTTGAGGTCCTTAGAAATTTGTACTATTTGCTGTATCACATATCAATTGCTTATTTAAGGCAATAGAAGAAAACAGTTTCATGTTTGGTTTATAAAAGACTAACATTGGGGACCTTTATTAAACAAACTGTGTGCTCTATAATAGTATGAATGGTTTCTATTAATCTGCTTTGTTGTTGATTACATAAAGCATTTTCTGTAGTGCATTTCTTGCAATATGTTTAAAACTAAAGTGAGATGTGGCTCCCATCATGTGACAACATAAGAACCTCGATGTATTCATTAGCAAGTTTGGTAGCAAACTTAAAAATGTCTTGAGTAGTATGAAAATTACCTCACTTGGACATGTTTAGCATTTTGGGCTTCTTTTTTTCACCTGCAGTAAGTGGTATCAGAACATGACAGGTTTTTTTATTCTAAGCACTAGGTGAAACTAGCAATAGGCTAAATACGTTGAACTAGCAATGAGCTTGCAATAGGTTAAACAAGCTCTGATGTTCTGCTTCTTAGTAATATGCCAATGCTTAATATTGTCAAAAAGAGAGAGCTTAAGTCCACTGATTTCAGTTAACATTTAGGACAACACCTTCCTTGATTTACTCATGTCTGTCCTGAATTGTGTTATGATTTGCTTTGACTTGACTGGATCTTGTGTTTTAAAGCAGCATTTAAGCTTTGGTCATCTAAGAGCAAACTGCCATCTTGAAAAGTTATTTAAATAGTATCGGTAATCAATAAACCTGCTGGTAATATTTGATTTGTGCTGGAGAATGTATGTGAGCTTTCTGAGGCTTGTGGGATGTGACTGGTAACAGACTTTGTCCCGTAATAATATAACAGAAAATATCTGGGATTTTTGATGTAGTATTACAAGCTGCAATGTTACACTTGATTAGGACAGGTGATCTTAGTGATACTAGGATAAAATCAATGGTGACAGGATGTAGACATAAAAAACAACCAAAAAACCACAAAAATTTTAAAAACAAAGCAAGAAAACAGCCTAACCCCC